ATTCTATCTCGGTGACATCTGGCGCTACCTACATCTCCCACCTCCTTCGTCTCTCCTCCCACCTTTCATCTGTGTATGTGTGTACGGGGCCTGAGCATCGTCTATGATTGGCTCAGACCCCACCATCTCACGATTGTTTGTGTGTGGAGTGATATCTGTGTGAGTCAGTCTATGCGAGTCAGTCCATTTATCAGACTTCCGCTGCATACATGCTCATCCTATATTGGTTGATCTATTGGTTCTGCCCATACTTGTTGAAGTACTCACAAGTATGCAACAGTTTTGGTATCGGAGCAGACCAAACGATGGATCTGCTCACAAGGTAAGTCTGATTTAGGAATAGATTGCTTCTTCGATCTTCCAAATCAGCTCTGCATTACTATCGAGATTCAATTCGGTATTCGGACTTTCAATTCGGATTTCTGTTTTAATCCGGTATTCTGTTTAATTCAGTTTCCGATTAATTGGTATTCTGGTTAATCCGATATTCTGTTTAATTCGGTATTCTGATTCTAATTCGTTATTCCGTTTAAATCAGTATTCTGTTTTAATTCGGCATTCTGATTTCAAAATTCGGTTTTCCGTTTGTAATTCGGCATTCTGTTTTTAATCTGGCATTTCAGTTTTAAATCGGTATTTCCGTTTTATTTTCGGTATTGGAAATTAGGGTTACGAAAATTTTCGGTTTTCCGATCAACTTGGGAAATTCGAAACGTTTTGGAACCGTAAAACCGGAAATTCCGCGGACTCGCGAGAAATTAGGGTTGGGATCCGAAATTTTTCGCGATTTTTTTTTTCTTTCCCTAGTTTGAGAAATTCTAAATACGCACTCAGGGCGTTAAAAATCGGATTTTGTAGGTTGAAATTCCCGAAATTTCACGTTTTTCAAAAATTCGAGTGTTTTTCTTCCTAATTACCCTAAAAAAAAAATTGGCAACACAGTTCGGGATCGTTCCCTCAAAATTGCAACTTCCAGGTAGTTCACTAATCAACGGTGAACTCCCGGACCATAGATGATCTCAACGGATACCTAATCTTTCCACAACTTAAAATTCATTAATTATCATTATTGCAATAATTGTTTTATTGATTAATATTAAGAAGTATTAATTCGTTGTTAATCATTAATTAAACTTTATTGATTATTAATTCGTTATTATTTTCTTATTACGAATTTTTGAGTTGTTTTCGGGGAAAGTTTATCTTTATCTGTTTGATTAGGTGTCTAAGTCCATAGTTGGGACAGGGACTGTATGCGAATTGCTTGATCTGTTCTATCCCTGTGCCCACCCTCTCCCTCTTACTGTTCTGCGACCTTTCGGACTAGCCAGCCTTTAGCAGCAGTTTTCTGATGCCAGCAGGGCAAGCCACCGAACAGCAGCCACGACGCAGCAAGAGGATCGCAGATCGCCAACAGCAACCACAACCTGCAGTTCGACAGCAGCCACAGACCAGCACTCATATGGCGAACACGCCGAACAGTGGAACGTCATCCGAGACTTCGACATCTAGCAATGCCGAACCATTACCGGTCTGTCCGGTTCAAGGGCCGACTGAGTCCATCACGGACTACATTCAGAGAGTGCAGACCTATACGGCCGCACTAACCCTTGCCAAGGAACGGCAAGATGCTGCTGAAGCAGACAAACAGCGGCTGGCAGCAGAAGCTGCAGCCCAAGCCCAGCGACAAGCTGAGGTGGAGCAGTTGGCGACCGACAAGCTCAACGCCGACAGTGCCGAGCTTCTGATCTCTCAACAAGATCAGTGGACACCGGTACTCAACAGGATGCGTTATGTCCCCGTAGCAGGCGCCGAGCCGACGGCAGTACAACAGGAGAGACAAAACCTGGCAGACATTCTACTCAACACAATGCGCGCAGTCATCTGGAACAGCACCAAGGGGAAGCTACATTCCAGGTCGACACGGCAGCTGCAGCACGATCTTAGCCATAACCTGAAGACGCTTGCAGCAGCCGTCAAGATCGCGGACTCCCAGCTGAAACAGATGGACACCCGCATTGCTGCTCTGGAGGCAAGGCCTTCCCAAGCAGCGCCAAGCTGCACGACAGACACGGCAAAGCAGCTCAACGAGCGCATCGACCATGTCGTCAATCTCATCGGCGAACTAGGTGCTTTCACTGGTCCGGACACGATCAGCAGCATGGTGGCCGCCATCAAGACGGACATCACCAAGCTGCAGACAAGACCGGACGCCGCTACAAAGAACTACAAGATGCCGCACTTCAACATCAGCAAGTTCGACGACTACAACAAGACAGACACCTTGACATGGTGGCAAGGCTTCCTCACGGAAGCATCCTGCCGCACTGTCCCGGCTGAAGACATGATGAAGGCACTCTACCTACAACTGATTGGAGGAGCACAGGCATGGATGAACCATCTTGCGGCCACCAAGCAATGCACCATCGCCGAACTCCACACGCACATTACGTGGAAGGAGTTCGAGCAACTCTGGTTCACTCGATTCATGGTCCGCAACGTCGTGAAGGCAGCCATGAACGAGGTGTACACCAGCTCACAAGGAAGCATGCCAACTCGAGACTAGACGATGAAGTGGCAGAAGATAGTGACCACGCCAGGCTTCGATTTGAGTTTTCCAAACCAACGATCCGAGTTCTTCTCGCGATCGTGCGCAAGACTACGAATGGCACTTGGCAACGAGTACGATTATGCCTCATTCCAGGCTATTCTGGATCGTGCGAACCTGGTCATCCAAACGGATGACAAGGCCGCTAACGAACGGCAGTCTCAGCCGCACTATGTGGCTAAGCAGGGCTATCAACGACCGACACACAACAATGCCGTGATTTCCGATGAAACAGTCGATCTCCACGCTGCAGCAGCATCCTCGAGTGATGGAGGAACTGTCGCAGCACTCCCGCCGAAGCGTCCCAAGAGAGTTTGGAAGAACAAGGCGACACAAGCGACGACATCGACGGGAACTGGGCAGCAACCATGGACGACATTCAACATAACCAAGGAAGTATTTGATCTTCGTCAACGGTACGGATATTGCCTTTGGTGCAATGGTGTCACTCACTTGACCGCACAATGCCCCGAAAAGGGCAAGGCACGTGTACCCCGTCCAGCGAACTCGGGAAACTGAGTTGCACAAGGAAAGAGGCGACGTCTCTCCTCACTCCGTCGGAACCGGTTGCCTTGCTAGCAACCGATATCACTACCGGGGAGCATGCGTTAGTCGCCGATTCTCGTGCTACGTACGAGGATTATGCCGCGCAGCTGCTACCACCATTATACCAGCCCAGCCACATGCACTTAGATTGCGTATGCGCAGCCTGTACACCGTCAACAAGTGATCCGGTCAGCGCGCCACTGATTTCCGAGGACTCGACGGCGTGGTCCCGCTCACGAGAGAGGACTTCGCTTGGATGCCTCTACCCTCAACCGGAACCTTGCCAAGGTCGCATTGCAACGCCTTGATGGCAAATCTACGCTCCTATTTGCACRCTACAGTACCAGCTCCGTTGACGGACGACGGGGTAGYGGTTGTCGATCTCCGCTCCTATCTTSCGAAGATTGACCGCRAGTACGCCACCCAAAGGTACGCCGAAACCGACGCTCCTTTGCTCTACATCCGCATTCAAATCGGAAAGGCAACCTGTAGTGCCTTGATTGATTGCGGAGCGTCTCGCAACTTTATGAGCCAAGCAATTATGGCTCGCGCAGGCCTTGGCCCGCGCGTTCGAAGGAAGACGCAACCTACGCAAGTTACACTCGYGGRCGRYCGCACGCAAAAGYCAATTGACCGATGCGTCGACGGCGTTCCGGTATACTTTGCGCCACTTGCGTGCGAGCCGGTGTCTTTTGACATCCTCGACACCAAGTTCAACATGATTCTAGGCATGTCTTGGTTGCGTAGCGCCGTTCATCAGGTGAACTTTCATGACCGGACCGTTCACATCTGTGATCGGAACGGAGTGTTAGTCCCATGCACGGTCGCAACCCCTCACACTTTAATTGCTTGCCACGTGGTTTCCGTTGCGAGAATTTGCGACGCCATAGCTCGAAATGACGTCGAGGAGATGGGCATTGTATTCTTGCATGCACTCCCCTCGCCGGACGGACCAGCCGCGTCACCGCCGGACCCACGCATTTCTCACCTCTTGGACGAGTATGGAGACGTCTTCGAGGCTCCCACCGGAACGGTTCCGGATCGGCCCATACGTCACGGGATCATTCTCGAGACTGGCGTCCTCCCTCCGCGTGCATTTACCGCATGAGCGAAGAGGAACTCGAGGTGCTTCGCGCACAACTCGACGACCTCCTTGACAAGGGCTGGATTCACCCTCGTTGTTCGCCTTACGGTTGTTCTCTTCGTCCGGAAGAAGAACAAAGATCTTCGGTTATGCATCTAATATAGAAAACTTAACGCACAAACCGTCAAGAACGCCGGCCCTCTCCCTCGGATTGATGATCTCCTTGAGCGGTTAGGCGGCGCGACGTACTTCTCGAAGTTGGACTTGAAGTCGGGTTACCACTAGATTGAAATCCAGCCTCAAGATCGGTACAAAACCGCGTTCAAGACGCGGTACGGGCACTTTGAGTGGGTTGTCATGCCATTTGGCCTCACCAATGCCCGCGCGACTTTCCAAGCAGCTATGACGACTGAGTTTCGCGACTTGCTCGATCGCAGCGTCCTCATCTACCTCGATGACATCTTGGTTTATAGTAGGACGTTGGACGAGCACAGCGTACACCTTCGCGCTGATTTGGATCGTTTGCGACTGGCCAAGAACAAAGCGAACCTCCACAAGTTCGAGTTCGCCAAGCAGGAGCTTGAGTACTTGGGTCACTATGTAGCGCCGAAAGGCATTCGTCCCTTAGCGGACAAGATCCAAGCCATTGTGGATTGGCCAGAACCCCGTTGCACGACGGACGGACGCTCTTTCATGGGTTTGGCTGGATATTATCAGCGATTCGTCGAGTCATACTAGAAAGTGGCCGCTCCTTTGTCGAGACTTCAGTCCCCRAAGGTGCCCTTCGAGTTCGACGACGCAGCCCGTGGCCATTCACTACGTTGAAGGCAGCGATGCTAGCCGCACCTGCCCTCCGTATATACGACCCCACCCTTCCCACCCGAGTACGGACACTTCGGGATACGGTATTGCTGCGGTGTTGGAACAGTGTCACGAGGACGGTTGGCATCCGGTCAAGTATTTCTCCCAAAAGGTGCCTCTCGTCAACACTCTCGACGACGCTCGGAAGAAAGAGCTACTCGCGTTCGTCACTGTTCTCAAACGGTGGCGCCACTTTCTTCTCGGTCGTCGGCGTTTTAAATGGAATACGGACACAATCCGTTGACCTTTTATAAAGCGTAGGATACGGTCACTAACACGATCGATCGATGGATGTATTACATCGACCAGTTCGACTTTGACCCGTGTCACATTCCCGGTCCCGCCAATCGAGCTGCGGACACCCTCTCACGACGGCCCAATTTTTGTGCCATTGTGACCACGGCATTCGACCTCGATGACGATTTGCAGCCGCATTTTGTTAAAGGCTACAAGTCCGATCCGACTTACTCTACGCTTTACGCGGAGCTTTCATCGGATCACCCGCCGGCTAGCCATTATCTGATTTCCAACGGTTTCCTTCTCCTTCACACGAGAGGAAAGGACTTGTTAGTTGTGCCCCAAGATCGCATCTTATGGACTCGTCTTCTCGGCGAATTCCACGACGCACAACTTTCGGCACACCTTGGCGTAAACCACACATTAGCACGCCTCCGCCAGCGTTTTCACTGGCCCGACGTCCTTCACGACGTCACGAGGTACATTGAGTCATGTGCAGTTTGCCACCGTAACAAGGGTCGATCTCGAGTCCCCTTCGGCGAACTGAAACCGTTGCCGATTCCTCGTGCACCGCGCCTCTCCATTGATATGGACGTGACAGGCCCGTTCCCCCACGATCGCCTCGGCCATAACGGTATTCTCACGGTCGTTGACCGTTTGAGCAAGTATGCTCGCTTCCTTCCTTGCAAGTATCATGCTGCAGCGCCTGAGCTCGCACGACTCTTGCACACCGGGTGGATTACCAACCAGGGTGTTCCGGAAGACATAGTGAGCGACCAAGATACTCGCTTCATGTCGACCTTTTGGACTTCGCCTTGGTCGAGTCCGGTACGACAATGAAACCGAGCTCGGCTCGGCACCTGCAGACGGATGGCCAGACGGAGCAAGCACACCAGACCGCTCAGATGATGTTGCGTACGCTCATCCGTCCCGACCAGAAAGATTGGGTTGACCGGCTTCCCGACATCGAGTTCGCCTATAACACTTCGGTGCACCCGGCGATCTGCGTCACACCATTCGAGTTACATCATGGTGGAGAGAAAGCACGGATCTTCGCTGATCTCCTTTTGCCACAAGCTGCCGACATAGACGTCCCTTGCTCTCCCGCTTCCGTTCGGAAGTACCGGGACTTGCTGATCAAAGCCCGCGCGAATACCCAAAAGGCTCAAATCCGCATGCAGCAGCAAGCTAACCGACGTCGACTTCCATGTCCTTTCCGCGAGGGAGACCTTGTTTGGGTCCTCTCCGAGGAATTTGTGCTCGAGCAGGACGTTTCGCGCAAACTCCTTCCGAAATGGTTCGGACCATGGGAAGTTACTTCTGCCGTTGAAGACGACCTCGCAGGTCCTTCCTTTGTGGTCAACATTCACCGCACCTTCCAGTGCACCGGGTCTTCCACGCGTCGAAGCTGGCCATCTACACGCCACCTCCCGCTGACGAGTTTCCCGACGACGATCACTGGATCCGCCTTCTATGGACGACCATCAGGAAGTGGACCGAGTCATCACGCACCGCAAGTATGGCAACAAGCCAATGCAGTTCAAAGTCACATTCAAGCAATGTGCGCCTGACGACACTCGGTGGATCTCTAGTGCAGACTTGCAGACTTCTGCACCCCTTATCTTCGCCGACTACGAGAAGCGACGCCTTGCCAAGGAAGCAGCTCGTCCCGCCCGACCCACCCCGGTATCGGACGGACAACTCCGCCCTCGCAGGTAGCTCGGTCTTTTAAGAGGGGGAGTGTTTTACATCGTCGACGCCACACGGGCCCTACCGGACCCGGCCTAGGGCAAGAGGGACACATTAGGGCCTGAAGGCCCAGACTTGGGGGTACAGCAGGCCGAAAGGCCGCATTTGGACCAGACCCAACGGGCAGGCCCAAACGACATTACCGTTTGGGCCTGGCGACACTCTTGAGGCTACCGCCCGCCGGTCTGATCTGAACCGACGATCTCGACGGTTCAGATCACGGCCAGGCCTCACAGCATTGAGGCAAGCCTCTGCTCACCGGTACTAAAGACCGGTCCAGCCTCATTCTGAGGCATCGAGCACTGGGACGCTGCTAGAGCGCCGGTCGTTTCGGTTCAGCAGAGGAGCGTTAGCGCCAGCGCTATTCTTAGCGCAGCGCGGAGGAGCAGCAGCAGCGCAGCTAGCGCAGCAGCGGCAGCAAGCGAGGAGCCAGGCAGCGGGCAGCCATAGCTGACTTCGGCTGCAGTCAGTTGCAACAGGCCAGGATCTCGGGAGTGAGGTCTTCTCCTCCCTCCACGGTCCCTGGCTCCCCTCCTCCCCACCTCTCCCCTCCTCACCTCTCTCCTCCTCCTTCTTCTTCTTCTTCTTCTTCTTCTTCTTCTTCTTCTTCTTCTTCAGACTTCTTCTTCTTCTTCAGGCTACTTCTTCTTGTTCTTCAGATTGGAGACTTGATATTAGTTGGACAGAGATCAGTGTTGGACTTCGGTGGTAAGAGGTTGTGGTACTTACCGGATTCGAGACTTGGAGATTGTTGGGGTTGATACTCGGCAGCATCACAGATTGGACACCGGTTACATTAGGACTCTGTACCTCC